GCTGACTGAGCACCTTGTGGGTGGATGGAAACTTGGCTGGAGATGCGTAAACAGCAGGTAATGATAAACATCATCGAGGAGGTGGGGACAGCAGCGCTGGCGTCGCTCCCCTCCTGCCACCCTATCACACATGCTGGGCATAGGCAGGCTCTGCCTCATGCAGCCCTCGCAGTGCTGCTGGTTGTTCTACACCGAGCTGCTGGCACGGGTTGAGCCAGGCCGTGTGGCACCATCACCAGCAGTGACAGGGCACAAGGATCACACTGATGCTGATGTAACCCACCACCAATGCCCAGGCAGCGAGGACCACACATCCTGTGCAGAGCTGATACTCAGATGGTTCCAAGGATGGTGGATGTATGTGCGGCCTCACCTCCAGTTTGGGACACTTTGACAGCACTGGCACTGAGCCCTCCTCCTCTGGTGCAGGGGATGAAGCACCCAGCACCAAGTAATGGGGAGCTGAGGCTGCTCTAGCATTGCCTCTCAGGCACTGGGCTCCAGTACTGCCTTGTCTGACTCCCCACCACTGGCTGCCATTTGCCCAAGGCCGATGCTGAGCCCCAGGCAGGGAGAGGTGCGCCAGTGGTGCGGTACCCGGTGCCATGTGCCCTATCCCACCCCAGTGCCGCAGCTGATGGGGATGCTGTGGGATTACCCATTAACTGCAGGAATTTCTGGGGAGGAGGTGAGCAGTGAGCAGAGGCGAGGGGCAATGCAGGCTCCTTAGACTTTGCTCTTGGCATGGGTATAAAGGGCCGTGATGTTTAGCAGGCTACTTCGCTGGAGAGACGTGTGGATGTGGCATGTGGACACAGTGCTGCCCTGAGTGCCAGGCCAGCCTCAGGTGAGCAGGGCGCTGGGCAGGAGTGGTCCCTTCCCCATGTCTCCTGCCTGCCCTTGCAGGAGCTCACTGGGCTGTCATGGTGGTGACTGGTGGGCCAGGGAACCACTGGGTGATGGCACGGTGCTCCTCGGTGGTGCCGGCACCGCAGGGACTGGGGAGGCTTGTGGCAGTCGTTGCAGCACATCTGTGCTGACACATGGCTGCTTCTGCTCAGCCTCAGCAGGAGCGATGCTGCCATACCACAGGGAGAGCCCGGTGCTGCCCCGCTGCCCGGTGCGGGCAGGAAGGGTGATGCACGGGCCCCAGTTCGCCTACTGCCCCAGCCCCCAAGGTAGGTGCCCCCAGTCTCCTCCTCCTCCTCCTCTTCCTCACCCTGCTCAGTTCTGCCTCTGGCCAGATCCTGGCCCAGGCAGTCCCAGCTCTCCTCGACAGGAGGACGGGGCTGTAACACGCTTGTCCCCTCTCCCAGCCCTGCACCGGCTGCCGGGTGCCCACTCCTGCCCCTTCACTGTGGGAGCGGTGCCTTGCCCTGACCATGGCTTCCTCTGCCCCGGCTCCCCGGGGCGCCTGCGCGAGGGCCGGGAGCGGTACGAGCTGGACACGCTGGCCTGGCAGGGGCCCCGGCTTGGTCTGGATGAGCTGCAGAAGCCAGGTGAGACCCTCGGGCACACAGCACCCGGCTGGGGAACACCACAGAGACCTCGATAAAAGCAGGGGGCACAAGATACCCAAGAGTGGGAGCAAATGGACGGGACCCAGGGGGTGGTGGCACAGCTGGGAACACGAGCCCCATCCTACCATGGGAGGATGGTGTAGGGCTGTGAGAGCGCAGGGAGGCAGGGCTGTGCCACAACCAGTGTTTAACACTCTCTTTTGTCTTGTGCAGAGCTGGGGTGCTGGGCCAGGGTCCAGTCCATCTGTGTCTCCCTTCTCAAGGTGCCCCTGATGTTCGGGTTCCTGTACCTCTTCGTGTGCTCCCTGGACGTTCTCAGCTCTGCCTTCCAGCTGGCTGGAGGTAGGGTGGTGGGGGTGCCTGGGTGCCTGGCACCCACCGTGCCAGCGTGCTGCTGCTCATGCTCCTTGCAGGCAAGGTGGCAGGAGACATCTTCAAGGACAACGCCATCCTCTCCAACCCCGTGGCTGGGCTGGTGGTGGGCATCCTGGTGACCGTGCTGGTGCAGAGCTCCTCCACCTCCACCTCCATCATCGTCAGCATGGTCTCCTCAGGGTGTGAGTGCACCCACAGGACTCCTGGCTTACCTGAGGCTGGGAACAAGGTGGCTGGATGGGACCACCCTGAGCCAAGCCATGTGGGGCTAACGGGTCTCTGTGTCCCCAGTGCTGGAGGTGCGCTCTGCCATCCCCATCATCATGGGCTCCAACATCGGCACCTCCGTCACCAACACCATTGTGGCCCTCATGCAGGCTGGTGACCGCAGCGAATTCAAACGGTGAGAGCTGGTCAGGACAGAGGGAGCTGCTCCCCAGGGGCCACCCTATGGTGATGGGTTCCTCTGCACAGGGCCTTCGCCGGTGCCACGGTGCACGACTGCTTCAACTGGCTGTCAGTGCTGGTGCTGCTGCCGCTGGAGGTGCTGACCGGGTACCTGCACCGCGTCACCCGCCTGGTGGTGGCCACCTTCAACATCCGTAGTGGGAAGGATGCCCCCGATCTGCTGAAGATCATCACAGAGCCCTTCACCAAGCTCATCATCCAGGTCTCCTCAGCTGTGGTGTCCCTATGAGTGGTGTCCCCAGGCTGGTGGTTGTCCCTTTGACCGTGGTTGTACCCAAGTGTCCCCAGGCCAGCAGTGGTGTCCCCATCCCAGTGATGTCCCCAGGCTGCGGGTGCTGTCAGCCCCCAAGGGCCCCCTCCAACCCATGTGTTGTTGCAGCTGGACAAGTCAGTGATCACGGGCATTGCAACGGGGGATGAGAGCCTGCGCAACCGGAGCCTCATCCGCACCTGGTGTGGTCCTGCGCCCGCACAGGTGAGCAGCCCGTGGCTCTGCTGGGGCCACCAAACCATCCCATGGAGGGTGGGAGGAGGGCAGGGGCTGAGGACTCTGTGCAGGCACTGCAGACACCCTCTCCCTGCAGGCAGCCGCTGTGGAGCTTGCTCCCCCCATGAACTGCACAGGCCCCGGCCACTGCAGCACCAAGGGCCTGGAGAGCCTCCAAAACATCACCAGGCAGAAGTGTGAGTGGGGCTTGGGCAGCACTGGGGAGCAGAGGTCATGAGGCTGGGGAGGTGCAGATGGGGCTGGGGGGCTGTATGTGGGATGGAGACATGCTGGGCATGGGGCTGGAGTGGTGATGTGGGGTAGGGCCCAGACACACTGGGGCTGGGGTCCAGGTGTGGGGCTGTCTAGGAGGGAAGGTTTGTGAGGGGGCCAGGCCAGCCCTAGCCCCTCTCCCAGCCGTGCTGTGGGGCAGGTGAGCACCTCTTCACTGACACGCCGCTGCCTGACCTGGCCGTGGGGCTGGTGCTGCTGGCCGGGTCCCTCGTTGTGCTCTGCACATGCCTCATCCTCCTGGTCAAAATCCTCAACTCCCTGCTCAAGGGACAAGTGGCCAAAGCCATCCAGAAGGTCATCAACACTGGTGAGTGTGATGGGACCCTGCCTGCCCCACAGCCTCCATCCCTATCCCCACAGACCCCTCCCCATCACCATCTAGGAGCTACAGGCTGCTCCCAGCTGATGTGTCCATGTCCATGCTTGTGTCCATGCCCATGCCCATGTCATGGCAGATCTCCCGCACCCGCTCAGCTGGCTCACCGGGTACTTCGCCATGGTGGTGGGTGCTGGGATGACCTTCGTGGTGCAGAGCAGCTCTGTCTTCACCTCAGCCATCACACCCCTGATAGGTGAGTCCCAGCCGTGCCTTGTCCCTGCCATGTGCTCTTCCCAGCCACAGTGTCCCATTGGTGCTAAAGTGCTTGGAGGGCTGGGAGGAGCTGTGCCTCCTTGGGAGACTGTGGGGATGGCACTGGTGAGGAGTGATGGGATGGGGTGCCTGTCCCACAGGCCTAGGGGTGATCAGCATCGAGCGTGCCTACCCGCTGACCCTGGGCTCCAACATTGGCACCACCACCACCGCCATCCTGGCTGCCCTGGCCAGCCCAGGGGACAAGCTGGCAAGCTCCTTCCAGGTACAGGCAACCCCAAAGGCACAGCTGGGCTGATGGGGGACACTGGGCAAAGCAGGGGCTGGGGGAAACCCATGCACCCAACCGCCCTTGTGACACCATCCCTGCAGATCGCCCTCTGCCACTTCTTCTTCAACATCTCCGGCATCCTGCTGTGGTACCCACTGCCCTTCACCCGCCTGCCCATCCGCATGGCCAAGGCGCTGGGCGAGCGCACGGCCAAGTACCGCTGGTTTGCAGTGCTGTACCTCATCATCTGCTTCCTCCTGCTGCCCTCCCTCATCTTCGGCATCTCTATGGCTGGCTGGCGGGCACTGGTGGGGGTGGGCGCGCCCTTCCTCAGCCTCCTCTTCTTCGTGGGGCTGGTGAACGCGCTGCAGGCGCACAGCCCTGGCCGCCTGCCCAAATGCCTGCAGACCTGGGACTTCCTCCCCACCTGGATGCACTCGCTGCAGCCCCTGGACCGGCTCATCACCAGGGCCACCCTGTGCTGCACCGACCGCTGCCGCAGCCCCGAGGGCTGGGAGGAGCGCGAGGGCCCTCCCCGGGACAAGGCCAGGTTGGGGCTGGACAACCCCATGCTCTCCTACCCCGAGGAGGTGCCCGGCTCTGCCATCCGGATGGGCTCTCCTCGCCCGCTCCCACACGGAGCCACCCGGCTCTAGCCGGCACCACTGCTTCCATGGCTGCCCGGTTTGCTCCATTCCCGCTCAGCTGGTGTCTAATAAATGCTGAGCACCTGCACCCTGCATGTGTGTGTCTGGCTCCTGCCTCTCCAAACCCTGCCAGAGCTACAGTCAGAGCCACCGGTACCAGACACCCACCATGCACCCTCCTGTCCATACACCACCCCTGCACAGCCCAGCCCTGCGTGGCGCCCAGCGCACCACACACTGCACCCATCACACTGCTGGTGCACTGGGGGCACGCACTGACAAAGCCACAGCCAAACCTGCACCTGCAGTCTGCAGACAGGTTGTACCAAAGTGTCATCTCCTCTCACCCGCCTCGTCCCCACAGGGCTGAGGTGGCCAGGTCCATGTCACACTGCTATGTGCCACAGCAGCGTGTCAGTGGGGCACAGCCCCGCACATGATGAGGCACATGGGGCAGCTGGTGAGGGGCTGCCAGGCTGGGGATCAGCACGATGTTGGCTCAGGACAGGCAGGCAGTACCCTTGGCTCACCATGAACCCTGCTGCCCGTGGCAGGAGCCCACCAACCATGGTGACCCCAGCAGAACCCTTTCAGTGTTGGCAGTAACGGCATCTCCCACTGCCCGCAGATGCTTGGGCTCCTGCCAGTGTTATTTATCAGCCTGTCCCTTCCTCCTTCCCGCCCACCCTCCTCCGGGGCTGGGACCAGCCCAGCCAGCAGGGCTGCAGTGGGAGCTGCTTCGGGGCTCCCAGCACCATCACCCCGTGTGCATGGCTGGGTGACGACTGGACCAGGACAAGCTCTCCTTGCCACCAGACCAGGTCAGTACTGGAGCGGTGTGGCCAGGACGACCACAGAAGGACTCAGCGATGCCAGAGCTATGGCACAAGATGCATCGGGGCTGGTGAGCAGGGCACGTGTGGTGGGGAGCAGCCCCATGGGGCTTCATCCAGCTGAGGGACTGGGCCAGCATGGAGCCAGCCGATGCCCTCTCCAATGCCTCCGGTAATGGCAGCAGTGCCAGCAGTGCCCCACACTCACCTGCAGTCATGGGGCTCATCCTGCTGGCCGCCCTGGCTGTCCTGCTGGCCACTGTGTTGGGCAACACGCTAGTGGTGGTGGCCATCTCCACCAGCCGTGCCCTGCGGGCCCCGCAGAACCTGTTCCTGCTGTCCCTGGCCTCAGCGGACATCCTGGTGGCCGTCCTTGTCCTGCCCTTCTCGCTGGCCAACGAGCTCATGGGCTACTGGTATTTCGGGGCCCTGTGGTGCAGCCTGTACCTGGCACTGGACGTGCTGCTCTGCACCTCCTCCATTGGGCACCTCTGCGCCATCAGCCTCGACCGCTACTGGGCCGTCACCCGCGCGGCCCGGTTGAACCTGCGCCGCAGCCCGGGGCGTGTGAAGGGGATGATCGGGGCGGTTTGGGCTGCGGCGGCCCTGGTGGCACTGCCACCGCTGCTGTGGGCCCGCCCGGGTGGCCGCGAGTGCCAGCTCAGCCAGGAGACCTGGTACGTGCTGGCCTCCTGCACCGCATCCTTCTTCGGCCCCTGCCTCGTCATGGTCACCGTGTACTGCCGCATCTATCACCTGAGCACCCGCCGGGCTGCAGCCCTCCTCGCCGCCCGCTCCCTGCGCCTCGCTGCTGCCAGCAAGAAGGGGCCAGGGATGAGGATGCTGGGCTGGCGGCACCGGAGCCAGCACCAGAGCGTGTTGCTGTGCCGCCGGCGGCTGATGCGGGTGCAGGAGCGGCGCTTCACCGTGGTGCTGGCTGTGGTGATGGGCGCCTTTGTGCTGTGCTGGTTCCCCTTCTTCTTCACCTACAGCCTGGGGGCTGTCTGTGGGGATGGCTGCCGCATCTCCAAGCCCCTCTTCAGCTTCTTCTTCTGGATCGGGTACTGCAACAGCAGCCTCAACCCGCTCATCTACACCCTCTTCAACCGGGACTTCCGAGCTGCCTTCCGACGGCTTCTCGCCATCCCCCGGCGGCACTGCCCCTAGGGACACACCAGCACATTGGGGATGCAGCTCCCGGCCCTGCTTGCCGCTGGCAGTGCCCGGCCCCACCATGGACCCTGGACTGCAGCGCTGGGGAGCACCTCAAGGTACTTCTGGAAATGAGGGTTTGAATAAAACAAGGCCAAAGCCTGTGCCCAGGGCTGGGGTCTGCCCCCCGGGAGCCCAGTGAGTGGGAGCCATCACCAGACCTGTCGTGACCCATCTGTCCCCCTTGCAGCATGGGTGAGGACAACTCACCATGGCACCTCTGGGAAGTGCCAGCCCTCCCATTGCCACGCAAACCCCAGTTCCTCTGCATGCCCATGACACCCAGCATCCTCATGCAGGGCACAGACCCCAGGCTGCTGCAGGGATATGAAACCCCCCCCATAGCAGTGCCAGGGTGAGCTGGCCATGCTGCCATAGCAGCCCAGTCCAAGCCCTATGCCACTCAGCCAAGGGCATCCCCTCTCGCTTCCCATCAGCATGTAGCTGTGCCATGCCATGGGGGTTCTGTGGGAACAGTGAGGTGGTACGAGGGGTGTGGGGCTGGGGTGGGACACCTCACATCCTGCTCAGGGGCTTCACTAGGATCTTGCTGCAGGAGGGAAAAGAGGAATGACATCGCAGTGCTGGAAATGGTGTGTCCCTTGGGAGAGTGTGGAAGATGGGACAGCATGGGAACAAGCTCCGGCACAGCCTGAGGTGCAAGAGGCCACCAGGGGAACTATGGGGTGAAGATCCAGGGGCAACCACATCCCCCCAGGGGCACGCACCCGCCCTGCCTGGCTCGCTGCCCTGTGCTGCGCCGACACCCGGGGGTCAGGAGCTGCTCCACTTCTCCAGCTTTATGCTCAAAATAGAAAACCTCCAAACATGGGACTTTCACTCAGCTCAAAACAGCCACCGGCGCCTGGGAGATGGAGCCCAAGGGATGCCATTCCCCACCGTCCCCCATGTTCCCTGCTGGGGTGGGTGCAGCTGGTCCGAGGGTCTGGAAGGGATGGGCAAGGATGCCATGGCCATCTCCTGTACCTGCTAGCCCTATGCATGGAGGCTTGTGGCATTAATTCTGGGGCCAGTGGAAGCTCCCAGTGGAACGGTGCTGGGATGGGGGCCTGGCACTGGATATGGCTGGCCCTGGTGGTTGGAGCCCCACTGGCCCTGTCTGCGGAAGGAGCTGCCCTATCACTGCTGCCTGGCTTCCCCTCTGTGGCCGCCTTTCTCCTTCTCATAAATAAACAGCAGTTTGCTTCTAAAAATACCCAGGGAGATGAGGGTGTCTGATGGGGACTTGGGCAGGGAGAGGAGCACTTGCCAAATGGGCACCAGCCCCATGGGCAGCACCCTGGGGCAGCACAGTGTCTGGCTCCTGCACCCTGCCCTCATCCTTGCACAGCACTACTGGGGCTGATGAAGAGAGCAGGCACTGTCCATCCTTCTGCGCATGGGTACACAGCTCCAGGATGCTGGAGGGCAGGAGGAGACAGGGACCAGCTGGCCTGAGGGCATCCAGGGACCCCTCTACTTGGGCAAGGAGTCACTGACACATTCAGCTTGTTCTGGCAACAGGGCGACATAAGAGCCACCAAAGGGAGCTTCAGGCTGATATCTAACCCATCAAATCCCATGGGCTGGACACAGTCTGGGAGCACCCCCCACTTTGCTCCAGGGACTACCTCTGCCTGGAATTGCATCCTGCATTTTCAGCTGCTTCTTCAGTTTCTCAAGATTATTTTTATTTGCTCCCCTGATTGAAGCCCTCTCCAGCAAGGTCCCCTCTGCAGAGCTAAAAAGCAGAGTGCCAGTTCCACCATCTGGGCTGCCACCAGCTCTTCTGGGGACACCAGGACCCTTCTGGACACTCACGCTGCTTCAGCTGCGTTCCATGGCCAACAACTCTTGCCATGGTGCTGCAAACGCCAGCTGGGAGGAAGCAGAAAGTAGCAACCTGAGGGTTAAGTGTGCAAATGCATGGGAACGAATTCATCACATTTGAAGCTCAAAATAAGTGTGTGCCACCTTTAAAAGGAAAGCAGCTCTAAAAGAAGAAAGCTCACAGTGTGAGCTCATCTCTCATGGCAGAGGGGCACAGGAGATCACCTCCAAGGTATGCCAGGGCAAAGCATCCTTCTCCTTATTGCTGCCTTTTCATAACCAGAAGATGCAACACCTGATCTCCATTGGATGCTGAAGGGCATGGTGGACCACAGGCAGCACAGACTGCAGGGCCAATGAGTGCTTGGAGTAACTTGTGTTATTATCAGCCTCACTACAGCCTGAGGACATGATCTTCTTCCCTCCTGCTCACCAGCACAGCCCAGCCGAGCAGTGTTCACAGGCCCACCAGCGCGTTGCCGTTGACAGAGGCTGCTGGAGGGATTTGCCTGCCACCATGTGCTCCTCTGTGCCCTGGGTACCACAAACCTCACACCCGGGGCAGCCCCACTGCCACCAGCCACACACAAGGTAGGAAGGAGGCATCACCCACGGGCTGGAACCCGTGATTTGAGCCATCAGAAGGCAGAGGTGGCATCTGCTCCTGAGAGCCAGAAGGAGCAGAAAGCAGGGCAGGCACAACTTGCTAACGGGTAAGCAGATTAATGAGTGGCTTTACACAGAGGAGGAGCAGGGAGCGTGGCAGGTCACCTGCAGGGCTGACAGGTCATCGAGTACAACACTGAGTGAGATGCAGCTCTGCAGAGAAATCAATGACCTACTTGCCAGGGAGCAGCTGGGGAAGAAGTTGTCACGCTACAGCTCATTTTCAGATAGGATAAAGCTGCTGGCAATGGAAGTACAGTGGAAAAAAGGCTCTTAGAGGGAATCATTGGACAGAGGAAGCCTGTGGGACCAGCTGCACTCAGCAAGAAGCTAAGGAGAGCTCAGATACCAGGGCAGCACATAAGCAGCCACTGGCATCAGCCAGCGGCACCCGGAGATGGGGAAACCCCAAACCTCCACAGCAGCGGTGAAAAAGGGGACACCGCAGCCCGTGTCACCATGGCACAGGGACTGGCCAACACCAGAGACACGGCTGCTCGAAGACTTTATTATTAAGGCCATCGCAAGCGCAGGGCCAGGCTACAAGGAAGGGAAGGCAGGTCACATAACCGCCGTGAGCAGCACCGCGGAACACCACACCACACCGCACCGCACCGCACCGCGGAACACCCTCCCACCCCAGCGCGGCCCTGCCGACTGTGGAGGACCAGGGCCAGGGCTCCCGTACAAACCTCCGCTCGGCCCCACCCCTTTACGGAACTCTCCTATCACGGCCCACGCTGCAGCAGAGTGGCAGCTCCACACCCAATCAGATGCAGGAGGAGGAGGGTCTCTTCCAATCCGTTCCCAGAGCGGTGGTTGAGTGACACCTCGTCCACCAATCAGCACCCGCTCCCTCTTCCCAGCAGAGCCTCGCCAATGGTTTCCTAATGACGCGCGCTTTCCTCTCCCCGCCCCGCCCTCTCAGACCTTCGCCCGTCCCGAAGCCAACAGGAGGGCAGCGGCGCGACGGAGGGGGCCGGGCTTCCTGGGGGGCTGGGCCAATGGGAGCGCGGCGCGGGAGGAGCGTGGTCAGGCATTGGCTGGCCGGGAGGGGGAGGGCGGGGCGTGGCGCGGCGGCGGCGGTGTTGGGGGGAGCGGCGGTGGGGCGCGGGCCGAGCGGACGGGAGCGGCGCGGAGCCGGGCGGGAGGCGGCGACGCCCCCGGGCCCATGGAGCTGGAGAACATCGTCGCCAACACCGTCCTCCTGAAGGCCCGCGAAGGTGAGCGGATGTGCCGGGTTGACGCCGGTGCCCGGACTTGGCAGTGGGGCCGCGGGGCAGGCAGCAGGCCCAGGGCAGCCTGTCCGCGGAGCGAGCGCGGCTCCCGGAAGATGCCGGCCGCTGGCCTGAGCCGTGAGCCCACCGGCCGGTTGTTAGAGCGGGGGCTGCGGCGGGAGATCTGCAGGCTCCGGCCGCGTCTGTCCCGGGACTTAGCCCCTGGCCAGCCCTGCGCGGGGGTCTCGGCCTTGGCTTCCCGCGGCGCTCCTGGAAGCGGGGAGGTAACGGCGCGGGTCGGGCACGGGCCCCCTTAAAGCTCTCGGTTGTGAACTGGCCCCGGCGCTGGGCGCTGCTCCGGGCAGCCGGCCCCCAAGCCGCGTTTCCTCCAGGGGTGCTGACCTCCCCCTGGGGAAGCTGCACTGCAGCCCCGCCGGGCCCCGCCGTGCTGGCGGCTTCCAGCATTCCCCCTTCCCGAGGCTGCTCTTGCTCCTTGGCAGAGGAGAAACGCAGATTTGGTGCCTTAGGAGAACAAAGTTGGTATCAGGCTGGTGAGTGCTGCTTCCCACACAAGGGCCGATCCCGAAACTGCGGTGGGGAGCCCTCCCCCGGCCCCTGGTGTGCTCAGCACCACGAGCTTTGCTGCAGGTTCACAGCCCTCCTGCTGATTCAGGGGTCCCGGCTGAATTCCAGGGCACGGGTACGGGGTGGCCCCTGCCAGCAAGCGGGGATGCTGTGAGCATCTGGGGAGCTGTGCAGAGAACCCTCAGGATGGCTTAAAGAGAGCACTGGGTCACACAAGAGTTGGGTGCTTTGCAGAGAAGATCTGGTGCAGCCAGGTGTCGGGGAGTTCATTAGATCACATAAAGTGGCCAGGAAATACAGCCCCTCCTGGCCCTTGGTGTGCAGCTGGCCAGACCAAGTCATTCTGGAGCCTGAGGGGCCTGCTGAAATCCGGTTAGAGGGCTTTGGAGATTAGATTTGTGGGAGCAAAGAACAGTGAAACTAAAATCTACACGGGCAGAAACATTTCTGAGCTGCTTGAAAATCAGGCTTAGTTGCAGGTACTCCAGGCTCAGTAACCATGATGTTATGGCTCATAATGGCAAGGTTTGGTTCAAAACCAAACAGCAGCATTTGGGAAAACCCTGCTTCACAAGGAGTGAATGAGCAGAGTGGCTCCTGTTGTTCCATCAGCAGAGCAAAGTTTGGTCAGTGATGCAGAGTGAGGCGTAGGACGGCTGCTGCAGCTCTCTGCTCCCAGTGCCTCTCCTGTGGCAGGGGTTGGGCAGCTTGGTTGCAGGCAGATATGATCCACTGGCACACTCACACTGGCTGCTTCCTGGCCTGCGAGAGCTGCGGGTGGTTGTGGTGCCTCTCCATGGCTCTCACGGCTCACTGGGGTGAGCTCTGGCAGCCTGTGGGACTGGACAGAGCTGCTTTGCTGGCCAGGTCCGGCACCACCAGGTGCTTTGCTTCA